TGAAGAGTTTGTAAATTGCGTTGCCTGGCAACGCAATCACACAACGTCACGTCCGTTAATTCCACATCCACACCAGTCTATGATCCACACACATGGATTAACATCGATTTAATACATTAATGTAGCCTTTGTTTCTGCTAAAAGAGGTGTCGACCAGCTAGGGCAACAAGAAAATCGGCGAAATCAAGTGTGACGATTAAAAAATAAATTAAAAACATTTCATTTTGACAATAAAAACCGACCAATAGGCGCGGTAGACCATTTGCTTGGCACTTCCGGGTATTTCTCCACTGGTTGGGCCATGTTAACAATACCGTGTAACTGTCACGTTTGAAGGGACGAAACCGTGACATATTCACGTCTCCCAGCATGGTAGATCGTCACATGTTCACGTCTTGCCGTGATACCGGGTTGGCTGTGACGGACCGGTGAGCGTAGCAAAACACACAAGAGTTAGACCTAACACACTTAGCTATTTTATCTACCTCTGGAACTAGTTATACATATATTTATGCCTCACTGTCACTCATTACTGGATCAGTGAGCTGCATGAGATTCTGACAGGCTGTCAGGAGAGAGAGAGAGAGAGGGGGAGAGAGGAAAAGAGAGCGCTTCCGCTCATTTCTCCCGTGTTATTATCCAAAGTTAATGTAAACTTGAATAATGTACTTCATTTGAATGTAACAATTATGTTGGTTGTTGTTTGTGGAAGCGCCAGTGAATGAGCCCCATTAACTGAGTTTTAAACATCACTTTTCACGAGCGTTTTCGTCGAGCTCTTCCCCCCCGACAGAAAAGCAATGGGATTTCTCATGGATGTAATAGCTCGAAATAAGGTCTGTGGTAAACGAACCTGTTAGATAAATGCACGTTTCGTTCAGCCGGATAATATCAACATGTCTACCCTACTTTTATTATTTTCGAATCATAAATCGAATCGATAGATTTATGATCGATAGATTTATGATTAGCATAAGTTCGTTCATGATGGCTCATGTCAGTGATAGTGATGACATCGAGTCATTTTCAAGATTGAGTTACAATGATAAATTGGAGTGGCAAAGGATCAGCTGCATGACCCGCCATCAAGTACTTCATCCAAAAGGACAGGAGGATGGACTTTGTGTTTAAGTGATTTGATCATCAAAGGTAGGCCTAAGTCATTTTCAATGTGGGCCGCCGTGCCGACTTAATTCATTTGTAATTGTTACTTGGCTGTGGGTGCCCTGTTATGATAGGTGTTTATATAAATGGTGTTGTTTTGTGTGGTCGAGGGTCGCTGTCATTGATGCGTTTTACACCCTGGGCCGCTGTTTTGATATTCCGCTGAAGTATACGCTGTGACGTAATAACTCTTCTTTTTTTTTCGAGGGAAGGGGGGGGTCAGAGGGCCTAGGTATAAAAGTCACGGCTCGCCACTGTAAAACAAATCCAGAGTTACGTTTTTCTGTACTTCCTCTAAGAAGACTGATGAAATTATTCGTAGTGGCCAAACGGCGGTACTACAATTTCCGTATCAGTCCGTGACCAGAAATACTTTTTCCCATTGACTAACATTGGGAAAGAGACGTCTGTAAGTCAGCGGATAGTTTTTTAAAAACGAAATAAACTACCCAGTATTAACTGCCTTATCAGAATCATTAGGTCCTTAAAGTTATAAAATGCCCTAAAAGCTGAATTTAGATGTATCTTCTCTCTCCATTCAGTCTACTGAGCCGAGGGGGCGGGGCTTAAGGGGAAACTCCACTGCGCTCTATAGGCGCGTTCACACCGGAGTACGGAATGCTGCTGGGAGTCCCAGCAGCTTCTACTGAAGCCAGTCCCCAACTCTGGGACTTCCGGCCGGGGACTCCGGGTGGCAGTATATGCCGTGAAGTTGTTTGCGGCCTGCCAGTAAACCCAAAGCAGAAGAAGAAGAAGTGACGTCAGCGGCTCATTTGCGTAATCTTCCCTCAGGCAATTTATTCCGGTGTGAACGCGATCTGCACTCAGTGCCCTGGGGTACTGAGTGCCGGGGCACTGAGTGCCGGCAAAGTACTTGGTGTGAACGCGGCTTATGAGCTACATACGGGTAATTTGTGACGTCTTGCTCTCGAGAATGTCAGGCCATTTTATCCTCATGCGCCGTGTGTGTGTGTGTGTGTGTGTGTGTGTGTGTGTGTGTGTGTGTGTGTGTGTGTGTGTGTGTGTGTGTGTGTGTGTGTGTGTGTGTGTGTAAATAAAAATCCATATGGAATTGAAAATTGGGTGCAGAGCTGAACATGTGTTGAGAGTTTTGGTGACACATGAGCTGAGATTTTGCATTTTGAGTGTTGGTTTAATGTCGGTGCTTTATGTGTCGTTAAAGTGTGTTAGCACTGAAAAAAGCTATAATATATATGTTTTATATCAGATGTGTTTTTATTACAAAGATAGATAACCCAGAAACTAATAATTGACCAACTATAATTATCTATGTTTTATAGATGCTTTCAAAACGATTTATTAAACAATCAAACATCATCATAATGAGTTATTGTTCATTTGAATAATTCCCAAGGGATCAATAAGAGAGTCAAAACCACTATTCAAATTGCAGAAGTTTCATTTTATTAATAATCATCCAAGAAAGTTTACATCGGAAAAGAGCACATTTTGAGCTATAAATAATAAACCTGACAAGAATAAGAAAATCTGCGGTTAATTCTTGCTCAGTGTTTCTAAGGTTTCAGTCGGGTGGACAGCAGTGTCAGGGACTGATCAGCGTCTCCTGCGGCGAAGTTCTGACGTGATCCCAGGCACACAGTCTGCTTTACTGCAGCTGCACGTATCCACTGCAGTGTAGCTGTGGTTCACCTTTGAGCCATCAGCACAAGTCAGCTCCACACTCTTCTTACTGACGCTGGCCTCTTGGCAACACTCACACTGGTGCATCATCATGTTAGCTGCCGCAGAATATCTACACACAAACAGACAACAGTTTTTACCCTCTGCTTCGAAAATAACAGCTCCTTCAACGGCCAGTGACTTGATCAGAAAATAGATACTTGTAGTAAGTCCTCATTATTGTTATTTGTATTGTGCTGACATGGTGTTTATTTCTATTTAGGCTACACTTTTTCTGACAAGGAAATTCTACCTTTGGCCTTCACAACACGTTAATCTAGCAAAAAGTGTCAAACCTCTTGAACCAGGGCCAGATTATTCATGTTGAATGAGACCTTTCCGGTGCCACCATAACTGGGCCCTTTGACAGGCGAGTTCACATTGAATTAGGAAAGTGTGAGTGCAGTGAGGCACTGCTGACAGCCAACCTTCACACAAACTGATATAAATCACTTTCTTGTCACACCAGAAAGAGCTGCCCTTCAAACTTCGATGAAACTAGGTGGATTCTCCGATTAAGTGAACATTCAAATTAGGTGGTAAAAATACTCACATGGACGAGCTTCCACAGTGTCCAGCGCAGGACGTAATGTTGAGCGGCTGCGCACTCTTGCAGCCGCTCACTTCCATGACTGTTAGCTTACTCTTCATCTCACAGACACTCTTCCGCTTGCCTGGAACACACAGCAACTGTTAGGCTCTAACAATGGCACATGATTCCCAGATATTTCCTCTGATGCTTCCCATCTTTAAAACCAAATGATCATTTTGGATTTAGTAGACATTAGTAAAATACTTTGACGCCACTAACTTACAGGTTTTGCAGCATCCAGTAGTGTCAGTAGTCTCAGTGCCCTGCATTAAAAAAAAAGACACGTCATGTTTGGGGTTGGACAGTTGGGTGGTTGAAGGGGGGCTAATGGTAAGATAAACTTACAGGTTCACAGTCCAAGGGGTTAAAGGGAGAACAGGTGGTCTTGGTCTCCTTGGTAACAAGATGTCCATTCATCTTCTCACAGGTATATTTCACACACTTGTCATTCGTGGGAATAAAGGTGTTGTTGACCTGTACCAACGGCATGAGCAGAAACTCAGTCAGATATTCAACAAGGGTGGTTCATTTGGCCTCATTCACAAACACTACTTAATCACTACTGTAGAAGAAAAAGACCACCACTAGTTTTCACACTTATGAAAAATATATATAAGTTAAGTATTATTTTTTACTTTGAAATATACAAAATCATGTTTACTGTTAATATCAACTATCTAATTCAGGTTGTACACGTTTGCTACGAGTGTCATTCATTTTCTCATACTCCTGGTCAGCAAAAATGTGAGGAAACACTCGCACAGCTGTGGGACCGACCTCAAGGATATGTGTTGTGTTGTCCTGTGTGGTGAAAATGCAGCTTTTCTGTACACATTTCCCGCAGCACTTTCCATGTAAGGTCTGATATTCATAACCCTGGAAAAAGAGACAAAGAGAGTGAGTCCTTTGGCCTTATAAGACAAGGGTACAATATGTGTGGAGGTGTGGATGTGCACTTATGTGTCCATGTGCAGCTACGATTTGTGATTAGCATTTCAAATGAATAGAGCATCTATGGAAGGGAACTTGATATGAAAGCTGGAAAACATAACTGGGATTTTCTGTTTAATAGATATTCATCACTTTATCAATGGACAGTAGATAAATACATACAAATGTACTAAAATTGAGTGTGTCTGTGTGTGTAAGTATATCTTACTTTGGAGCAGTTTGTGTTGCACACAACAGGTCTGCAGTTAATGATGTTCAACCTAGTGATGGGATCCATTTTGGGGCCACAGAAACACTCCTGGCAGGGTTTTGGTGTGAAAGGTCCCGATGTTCCTGATGGTGCTGTTGTTGTTCCCGAAGGTTGTCCTGCTCCTGATGGTGCTGTTGTTCCTGATGGTTGTCCTGCTCCTGATGGTGCTGTTGTTCCTGATGGTTGTCCTGCTCCTGATGGTGCTGTTGTTGTTCCCAAAGGTTGTCCTGCTCCTGATGGTGCTGTTGTTGTTCCCGAAGGTTGTCCTGCTCCTGATGGTGCTGTTGTTGTTCCCGAAGGTTGTCCTGTTGTTGTTGTTGTTGTTGTTGTTGTTGATGGCGGTTCTAATGGTGGTTCTGGTGTTGTTTCTGTTGGTATTTTGTCACCAGGCTGTAGAATACACATATATAGAGTACAAATTGATTAGTTACTCTCAAACATATGTTTATTATTCTATGGAAGATATCCCGCATGTGCTTATTTCAGGAGTCATGGACTAAGTACTGAAGGATCCATTGTTGCCTTTCTGAACTGGTCAGTTTCATGTACATTCTGACTTGTAAAAAAAAACATAGGTTACCATAAGTAATAAAGATGGACAGGTACATTTTGGTGATTCTAATACTGCATCATAATATTTTAATGGATTCAAAAGTGAAAACAAGTGTTTTTGATTACTGGCAGCATGTCATACCTACTGCGCCTCTTGTATTTATGTAGTTTCTCACAAAGAGCTGATGAAATCAGTGTAACAGGCTGTGGGTTAATACAGCTAATGGAAATGTTTCTGCTATTTCAGGCTATCACACAATGATGTAGCTATATTGGTATATGGGGTTTGGACTTACCTTGTACTCATTCATGTCATAGACACATACACCTTTAGGAACTGCAAAAACAAAGAGCTATGAGTTAGCTAGGCTGTGTACCTTTTTACTGAATGCATATTGATCTTCTATTCATGTTACTAGGTAACTGTCATTGTTTTAAAAATCCCTAAATGTGAACATAACTCCTTTCAGATGTACTTTTTAAGCAATATATTGTGAACAAATATTAAAATGTGTAAATTAATGTTATTTCATTTCAACACTGAATAGCCGGATGGAAGCCTGGACAGCATTTGTCTGCCTTCACAGAATCGGAAAATGCATCCAAAAATCAGATAAAGAAAATATTATTAACTCTTTAAAGGTTTTTGGACCGCAATTATTTCAGGACAATGAAAGTATATAGAAGGCTTTGATTGTTTAGGATTGCATTCAAGTGTTGAACTAACATTTAAAGGCAATCCAACATTCATCCACAGCAGAGCTCATTGCTGTTTTAGTTTTGTTACAACAGCAGATAATCCTACGTTGATAAAGTAAAGTCACATACCACACTCGTAGGACTGGCAGCAGGTGCCGCTGGTAACGTTGCGTTGGAAGCCCACTGGGCAGGTGATTGGTTGTGGACACAGGTTTACATTGCATTCTGTATGGCACAAAGGGATGAGATGATTATATATGGATGTGGAAATCAGTTTCAATTGGCCTTTTATAACAATAACTTAAAGAACCATAACAGCAGTCCTGTAAATTTCAGTGGGAGACTGTTGAGAGAAAGGCACTAAATACATTTGACCCACTCACACCTGATGGCTGTGTGATGTGCTCAACACTTAGCAGCTCTATTAAAGGCCTTGCTCATAACTTTAAGCAACAAGAGGAGAATCAATATTGTGATGGATGAGATATCCCATATTATTTAACCATGTAAGAAAAAAAAAAAAACACCGCTTGATGGGAATAAAAGATATCCTTCAATCTCAAACACGTACATTTGCTATGAAAAGAAGCCTGCATTAATGTCAATGATATATCATTAGCAAACAACACTGGTGTGGTTCTTAAGGGATTATTTTTCACAATCTTAAAGGAGAGGTGTCATGCTTTTCCGGTTATTACCCGTCCCCTTGTGTGTTATGAAGGTTTTTATGCATGTAAACGGTGTGCAGAGTCAAAACCCTCAAAGTACACCCTGTAGCGAGTAAAACTCTAACACAGAAAATACCTCCCCAAAACGCCTCGTTGGAGATACGTCATTGTCCATTGTTTACTTCCTGGGTATCGCTACGTAGGGATACCCAGTAGCCACGCCCAGAGCTATGACGCGATACGGTCATGCGGTACCCGGAACCAAATGGACCAATCCGTGGAGCCGTTACGTTACGACCGCGGAGCCGTTACGTTAAGCCCCCGCTGATTGGTCCAAATTGACCAATCCACAGACTTCCTGAGTATACCTCAACAATGGAATTATGATCAGTGGAAATGGCCATGACACCTCTCCTTTAAAGCCTGTACATGCTGCTATGTGTGATGTATGTACTGTATGTATGTGGATATAGATAATGGATTTTTTCCCTAAAGGCATTTTTTTATACATACATCAATAAATATAAAATGTATATAGCATTAGGGGAAGCAAAAAACTCAACATACACAAAGTTGTAGGTGATTAAGAATAATCAACACTCAAGTAAGACCCATATTGTGCCATTTTATCAGTACCATATTCTAATGGCCATGGACGGACTACTATGTTCAATCATGGTTAAACGAGAAAAATGCTTCTTTCAACTTGTTGATATTACGACAGAATGAGCTATACACATATTTATTTGTACAATACAAACTGACTAAACCTTGGCTTAAAAAAACTTCTTGCCATTATTCCTAAACTTTTGGGGGTTGTACATGGTTGGATGCATTTTTTGAGAGTTGTCTTGGATAAAGGTTTCAATTAAATTAATGTTATGTAGTGTACCTTATGCAGTTCAGTATGTATATCAGTAAGCAATGGCTCCCTTTCCATAAGACTGTTATTTGACTGTGCTGCAAAACAGGCCTATGAGCAATGTTAATTAGATTAGGAAATCTACAACCACCAAAACATTTTTATATATTCATACTACAAATGAGCTGACAGTGGTAGTTTCTCTCAACAGCAACGGAAGCTTCTTCAAAAGCTTTAAGTCAATGGTGGTGATGATTCAGTCTTAAAAATCATTTGAACATGTATTAAACACCTCAAACATTGCATACGTTCTCAGATAGACATCAATATCATGTCAGTATAAGTGGATTGTTGGGAAGTCAGCATATTTCCAAATTCCTTTCAGAATGTGGCAGAGATCAGTCAGTCTGATTCTTCACTGATTCTTTGTAAGACACAGATTTTTCTGCCATTCATTTGTTGACAACACAAAGTAACAGAATCAAATCTAACTCTGTGAAACTTCAACTGACCGCAGGACTGTGTTGTGCAGCAGCCATCTGTGTTGTTGACCAGCTGCTGACCCGGCCCACTGCAGACAGGGCTCTGCACTGTGGGGCAGGTGGCAGGCTCACACTGGATGCTCATGGAATCCTTGTCACACTCACATGTGTTGCAGCCACTTATCCATATATCACCAGGCTGTTTACGATAGGACACAGTTGAGACACTCAGCTCATGCTTTGCTAGTGTACCTGATTATATATATGTATATACTGTATATGTGACATATTATCTATATACACATGTATATATTACCTCTTTGGGTCTACCATCAGGTCCAACACAATCTGAAATTCCAAAAGGAATAAGTCGATTTTAAATGAAGGTGTGCTTCAGGTTTTAAGAAACAAATATTTTCTGACCCAGTCAGAAATAGGATATAGGATCTGCTCTTACCACAGGAGGCAACACATGTGTCATAGACAGTGTTGAATAAGACGGTGCCAGGACGACAGAAGCAGCCCTCTTTGGTGTTGTTAGTGGATGCTTCACTACCTGTCTCGAACTTCTTGTTGTATCTGATTTCAGAAATGGAATAACTGGTTAATACAGTGATGAAAGGACTCTACACTGTGTGCACAATTATTAGGCAAATTAGTATTTTGACCATATCATCATTTTAATGCATATTTTCAAATTCCAATCTGTATAAAGCATATGAAAGAGGGTGTAAGGAGATCAACACCCTATATCAGGGCTATTCATCTTAAATTCAACAACTGTGTCACATTTTAACTTATATCAGTCTCAACACATCTTAACAGTTTGACAGTTTCTCTGTCCCTCTTATATCCCACCCCCCACTTTCTTTTGTTCAGTGAGAGAACTGAGCTCTAGCTTGTCCTGCCAGGAACTAAAATCAGCTTATTGACCTCAGTTCAGACTCGAGTGGGTATATTGGCACTTTTAATGAGCGCCACGTCTCTGAGCGTATGAGACACACTGGTGCTGTTCTCCCAGTGGGCAGGATGAACATGGATGAATCTGTCCATTCTGGGTTAAAGCTCTGTTTTCACTGTCCACTTCTCTTTTCTTAGAGAGCGCCATGTGTACTTATTCATCTCTCCCTGTCTGTCGCTCTCTCGTCTCTCCGCTAACTCGTCTCTTCTTCTGTGTTTCTCTCCCTGTATCGTTCACTCTCTTTCGCCCCCGCTCAGCGCCGGTTAGAATAGAAGCGCCCCGTCAGAACTGAAAATCCCGTAATCATTTATTGATTATAGGTACAGGTCCAGGTCCAGGCTGGCATTATTAAAGATGAGCTTGTTGGACCTTTTCGGGTTGAAGATGGACGCAAATTCAACACCCAAACCTACTGCCGGTTTTTAGAAGACACTTTCTTCCATCAGTGGTACAGGGAACAGTCTACATCTTTCAGGAAGACCATGATTTTATGCAGGATAATGCTCCATCGCATGCATCAAAGTAGTCCACTGATGGCTAGCCAATAAAGGCCTTAAAGAAAACCTCTCTGAACAGAGTCTGGGAGGCTGTGGTTGATCGTCAACAGATCAAGAAACTGACAGACTCAATGAATGGAAGGCTTGTGACCGTTATTGAAAAGAAGGGTGGCTATATTGGTATATTGCCTGTTCTTTTTTTTTTTTTTTTTTGTCAAGAAGTTAATTTGTACATTTTGAGTTGTTTGTTTATTATTCTCACTTTAACATGTGAGATGGAAAATATCCGTTTTCCCTTTAGTTGCATATTAATTATGCACTCTAATAGTTGCCCAATCATTGTGCACACATAGATATTCTCCTAAGAAAGCCAAAACCTCTCTTTTACTCTCTTATATATTCAGGTTTGAAGTTCATTAACATTTTGGATTGACCCAGAGCACTGTAGTTGTTCAATAATTAAAATAACCCTCAAAATACAACTTGGTGTGCAAATGTTAAGATCTCTAAAGCCAAACAAACAATCAACGAAGATCACATTTGTTACCTGTCATTGCATGTAGGCTCTACGCTGGTCCCACAGGCCTTGTACACTTTGTTTTTTGGACACGTGTGCTCTGTAAAATTCAAACATGTTTATATGCACATTTGATCAAAACTCCATGCAACACCTATACTTATATACCCTATTGACTTTATCTTACCACAGCGCCCATTGGTCGCATTCCTCCAGTCGATACAGACTCCTTCATTAGAGCACCCAGTGGCATAGGCCTCCAGGCTGGTGCAGGTGTTATTGTCACTGTTGCAATTGTCAGACACACAGGATTGCACAAATGGTCCCGGAGGTATGACTGTGTGGCATGCCTTAAAAACACTACAAGGAACACACAAGCCAGTACAGAATGTCAGGGAAAGTAATACGAAAAATATAAACATAATCTAAGATGTGAAGGAAGGCAATCAAATAAACATGCCTTCAACATGCATTTCAATAAAGATTACATTATTTTTCTCATCCCTTATTCTCTTACTTTAAATTGTTCTCTTATTTCTATCATCAAGTAACTATTACTGGTACAATGTTGGTTAGACTAATGGTTTGATCAAATGTCTTGGGGTGCTGTGGCTCAGTAGGTACTGTACAGTATGTGTGTATTGTTCCTAGTCAACGTCAACCTCTTTTGTCAAGTGTTAGTTAAATAAAGGTCTGGGCTTCTTAGTCAAAGAAAATCCCTCAATACTTTGGCCCAGTTTATGTCAATATGAAATGTTGATATATTAGTATTTTTTTCATCTTCAGGTTATATTGAAGATTTGAGCTATCATTTAACCGTGTTTCTTTCTACCAAACGCTGTAGTTGTCATACATTACTTGAAGATGATAAAGACGTTTTTGAATATTTGGTGGTTCTTCTCACCTGCTTGTTAGGATATTACAAATTGCAGGTTTGCAAGGGGGCTGCGTTGTGGTGGGTGTGGGTGTTGTCGTTATAGGTGGGGTTGTGGGGATAACACATGGTGTGCCTGGGACATGCCACTGGCCTGCGGAGTCTGAGCAGCTTTCCACCTGGCCGTTTGGAGAGCGACAGTCATTGTTCTGTGAGTTATCACAGGTCCCTGGAAAAAGAGACAGGAGGATGAAGGCAACGTTTTTGGGCTCATGCAAGAACTAGCTGTTATGATAATGGTTAGGGTTAATACATCCACCCATCCTGGTGTGAGAGGCAAGAGACAGGGCACGCCCTAGACACATTGCCGGGTCATCCCATGCAACAGCCTTTCATGCTCACATTCACACCGGCAGGCAATGAGCTTGCACCTCACATACCCACACTAATACTTTTAACATATACCTTTCACCATATTGATATTCAGTAATACTAATAGCAATTACTAAACAAAGTTTTGCTCTAATATGACTGCTGACATGGCTGGACTTGTTCTCTCTTTGTCTGCTGATTCCAGACAGCTGGAGTTGAAGTTTAAACACGGTGAAATCCTTCTTTTTACTCTAAACATTTATTTGAATATAAAAGTCTCTTTAGCAGTGTTAGACTGTCGACTCAAATTTACACTCTAGATTTTCAGAATTGGTGTTAGCTGTACCACATACTAGTTTTATCCTGTTTGTAAAGACATACAGTAATGGGTGTTCTCCTGATCATTCGGTTTCTTCCAGATCGGTGAACTGTTGCGTTGACTATTCTTCTATCAACATTAGGGCCTTCTTGCCGTTACGACCGGCTGCCAGAGTCAGTGCAACAAGCAGCTCTCGGGTGCACTCTGGTTATGAGTGGCATTGAAATGTTTATTATTTCCTTAATGCAATTATTTAAGGTGTCACTCACCGCACTGTCCTTCAGTGTTCCCGCCAAAGAGGGTGTAAGGTAGGTCAATGCTGATTGAGGAGCCCGTATAGACCACTTTTGTGTTGATCTCTGGTATCTCCAATGTTATCACCATATCTGTGCTAGTGATGTATAGAACAGGATTTCTGAAGGCGGGAAATGTACGTTTCTGATTCACATACACCTGTAGGACAAGGACACAAAACATAGTAGAGAAGACTGTATAATTTCAAACAATAACATGAAACACATAACTTTGGTTGGCACAATAACCACTCATTTAGCACTCTCAAAATAATGAAAGACATGAGAGAGTAACACAAGTAACCACCACCAGCCCCTAGTAGACCCCCACACACACACAACAACACAGACTATAACACTCCTTGCTGTTAACCACCAACTATGTGCAATATGTGCTATATATATATATATATGCCGTTAATAACTGTGCAATATATACCTGGCTAAATACCTTCTAAATCATCAGAACTCTCAAAGGATGTGTTTTTTGTAAATTGTGTAACTTTAAAAAAGAAATGTATGCATGCTACTTAGGTAACATTAAGCTGTCTTTGGCTCTTTTCTGCTGTAACAATGTAAATGTCCCCTCTGTGGGACGAATAAAGGTATTCTGATTCTGATTCTGAAGAACGACAAATACATTTGACAATTTGAAGGCGTGATTACCGCATTAGTTGCTGTTCCTCCAATCTTCAACTGAGACAAAACAACTGTGTAGGATCGGTAGGTTATAGTGAGAGTCTGGGGACAGAATGTGACCTCTGAAGGCTCACAGTCATGGTTGTTTACAATAATAGTCAGGTTATATCTCGTAATAATTTCTTTGACCAGGTAGTAAGAGCAGTTCTCGTTGAAATTGAATAATTTTCCATCGAAAGTTATGTAGTGGTTTTGAGCCATGATACTGCATACACCTGCAGAAAAACAAAAACGATTTAAGAAAATTATGTGTATCAACTGAACCAAGCAGAAAACATATTTATCTCCAACGCCATGTCTGTTTATTGGCAATTGATGTTTACTACAAAATCCATTGAGTAGCACTTAAGAGGTACTACTGAAGCAGTTATGTCTACAAATGTTCAACATTTTCCATTTTAGATGAATACATTCATCTTAGAAAGAGGAATGTGGTTAATTGGCAGTGGTATGCACATGAATAGAAATAGCGTTTTAATTAACATTCGTGTTGCATTATCTATGAAGCTTATACACTAGGCTTAAGTTACCAGATTGCATGTCA